AAATCCCCCGGGTTTTTTTTTTTCCCCCCCTTTTTTTTGGGGGTTAAAAGGGTTAAAATCACAGCCAGCTTTTTTGGAAATGGGGTAAAAATTTTTCCCTCGCAGAAAGGGGTTTTATTTTCAAAACCCGTTTTTCCCCGGGGGTCCCCAAAAAATGTTTTGTTTTTCCCCAAAAACAATTTTTTAATTTCCAAAACCCAACCGACTTTTTCATTAATTTCCGTTTTTTTTTTTCCCAAAAAATTTTGGGGGCGGAGGAGGTTTAAAATTTGTTTTTTCCCAAATTTTGGGGGTTTTCCCCCGGGGGTTACCCCCCCCCCCCCTCCCCCCCAAAGATGTTTTGTAAAATTTTTGGAAAAACCCACGTAGCCTCCCCCCCCCCAGCCCCGTTTAATGTTCCCCCTTTTGGGGGAGGGGTGGCCAATGGTTTTTTCGCTCAAAAGGCATGCAAAACATCAGTACGCCCCCCCCCCCCCAGCCCCATCTGACGACTCACCCTCCTTGTAAACAACCCTGCAGGCGAGGCAGGAGGCCATGGCGTTGCGGAGGTACTGCGGGGGCAGGGTGGTAGGTACCCTGTCGAACGCGGCCTCGACGAGCTTCTCGGGCAGGTGTTCTCGGAACAGAGGCAGCAGGAGACGGAGGTGCTCCTCCTGCTCCTCCTGATTTCCACGAGACGATGACGAAATCGTAATGAAATAAAGAACAAAAAAACAAACAAAACATTGTTGTTGGATACGAAAGAAAACAACGAGATGTGCGACGAGGAACGTGTCGAAATCAAGTCATGTTTGCACCTTGTTCTATATCCGCCTCAAGAGTTTTTGGCCAGAAACCTGAGGTGATCACAGGAAACCCACACACCCTGCCCCCGACCCTCGTTGCTGACGGGGCAGTACCTATCGCTTTCCTTCTTCGAAATTCAAAACGTCACATGGTCGGTTCGAAACCTACCGATCGGGTAGTAACGCCATTGGCACAGGCTTGCAACTCTCACCGCAGAAGGTGCATCATCCAGGATCTTGAGGACCGCGTCGGTGACCGAGTTGATTGCGTTGCTGATTCGCTCGCTGATGGCCGGCAGGGGCGTGGCCGGGTGGTTGCGGTGCTCGCGGAAGAGAAGCTCGGCCTCGCGGCGACCCGCGTCCCTGAGCTTCTCCAACACGTCGAGCACGATGCCCTCCTGTTTGATATCATCGGGGGAAATCGATGTTGTTATTTCGGAGTTCAACACGGCACTCACTGATCGTACCGCCTGGTTGAAATTCAGTTATCAAGGTGTGTGTTTGTGTACGTGGTTCGGCGGGCTATGTATGTGTGCCGGCAGTGTGACCTGGCGCACCTTGTCCGCTGTGTCGACCTACATCGCTCTCGCGACGCCCTTTCCCGCTCCTGTCGTCAGACAACCGAATTGTGAACACCCCTAGCCCCCCCCCACACCCCCACGCCCTGTGTGATGCGCAGCCAGCACCCCCCGTGAACCGTACACAGGTCTGTTATTTATTCCTGCAGCTGTTAACCATTTGCTGGTCTCTTTTGTTCTTCCGTCTTTCGTCAGGGTTCTATTCTGTCGTGTGCTCTATCGTGGCTGTGTTTGTCCTCCTCCCTTATATTCTGTTCTTCCACATTCTGTTCTTACTGTTCTCTTTTCTCTTGTGATATTTTCTATGATAATTTACTCATCACCTTGTTCTCCTTGAACTTCTCGGACGTCATGAGCATGGTTATATATTCTGTTTTTCCACATTTTGTTCTTTTTGTTCTCTTCTTTTCTCTTGTGATATTTTCTACTCCTCACCTTGTTCTCCTTGAACTCCTCGGACGTCATGAGCATGGACGAGATGATCTCGAACGAGCTGCAGATAACGCCGCACTTGTTGGCGCTCGAGTCCTGGTAGGTTAACCGTTTCCCCAAACACGGCAAGGCAGGTAGGTGTGCGGACGTTGAGCAAACCCCTAATAGAGCTCTAATCTCTGCGGTGGGGCTGACTCAACCGGTCAACATGTTCTCCCAGCACATGCTCTCTCAAACTCCTGTACATACTTCTGAGAGTGCTGTTCTTTCTCTCTCATGCGTCTCACAGAGGTTGACACTTGTCGGTACACCCGGTGGTTCAGTAGCTTAACCTCGCAGGATTCTGGTCGCTTTGGGGCAGGCGTTTGAATCTCGGCGCCGTCACACGAACTGGGACTGTTCTGCCTCACGCCACGCCCCAACAAGCTTGGGTACTGTAGCGGTTAACCCGGGTGTGTACGGAAAAACTCGACTTTCTTCACGGTCGACGAGGGGAAGAACCGGCTGAATTCCTCTCGTGATGAAAAAAGAAATCAGGCTAACTCCGCAGAAGGCAGGCGGCGGAGCCCCAAGAAAAACATGGTATGTGTGCATCCTTTCCTTCCTCCTGTGTCACCAAGGTTGTCCAGAGACCGACCATGCTGGAAGGCGCAAAACTCGGCGCCCAGAGGCATGACACGCAGCAGGAGCATCAGCGCAGGGTGGTTGCATATTACTGTAGTCTCTCGCGCCCCTCTCTCACCTTCACGAAAACCACACCGGCCTCCTTGAACAGCGCTTCCCTTGCCTCCGGGGTCGTGAACAGGTTCGCTCTGTCGGAAGAGATGAGATGGATAAAATTGTGGTGTCTTTGTAAGAAAAAAAGAGGCATCGTTTCAAGATTCTGCGCATTGGAAGGGCGAGGCCGCCGGTGGCGAAGCTGGTGCATCCAATGCAGGCACGAAACCAACAACAAGCCAATGAAGCCAACAACACACATGAAGCTAACCCGGGGGGGGGGGGGAGGGGGGCATCTGCGGACGGCGAACTTCACGTTGACCCCTGGCCCCTCCCCTCAAGCTTATCTCAGGCTGACTCTTATCCGACCGATAGTTGGCCCGACGGAGTTTTTGACGATAGGCATACCCCCGCCACCGTTTGCCAAGCCCCCGCACACGAAATCTCCAAAAGACAGACCTCACTCCACACCACCACAGGGGACCTGGTGCTCCCGCCGTGATGGTCGCATCGCCACAAACCTTGCTACGCACGACATCTGTAGGCTTCTTTGAAGCCTGCTCTGATCGCTGTCGAATGTGTGTGGGCCGAGAAACGTCAATCGGTGCCCGCAAAAGTGCGAATTCCGTGTGGATATATCGCACGCGGATGTTAGCCCTACAATCCGTTTGCGATATATCCACACGGATTGTCAATTATCGGCCCGCACAGAGCCCACAACGACCAGACGAGGCGGGAAAGAAGCCTACAGATGTCGTGCGTAGAGCCTTCAGGCTTTATGGCGATGCGACCACCACGGCGGGAGGCGAAGGCTCCCTGTGGGGGTGTGGAGTGAGATCTGTTCTTTTGGAGATTTCGTGTGCGGGGGCTCCGCAAACGTAGGCGGGGGGGGGGTACATACGCCCATCGTGAAACAACCCCCGTCGGACCAATCTTGGGTCGCGGTAAGATTCACCCTCCCCCGGGTTAGGTTTTCCGGAGTGTGCAAAACGCCCCCCCCCCCCCCCACGGCTTACTTCTCCCACATCACCCCCCCCACTCTCACCCTTCTACAACGAGAGTACTGGAAGGGGTCCCGTCGCTGTCGAGGTAGGACCGCCAGTTGGAGCCGTTGATAGTCCCGGGGCGCCCGCCGGCGGGAACGAAGGCGTCGGCCTTGACCCGGTTGTGCATCGTGTTGCGCGCCCGGATGCCCTCGTCGTTGTCGCACGTGTGCAGGACGCCCTTGGGACCGAACTGTGTTTATGGGTTTTGCGTTTGGCATCGTTTTTTTTGTTGTTTTTGGTTCCAAGAACACAATAAAATACTTTCATCCCTTCCACAGGTTAAGGTCTGGGGAATATTAGCAACGAATTCGTACATTTTCATATTTTCTTCACAAAAAATTGCAACTAGTTCAACTCTTGCAAAGATACAAGTCTAGGAAAGATTGGCGATGAATTAACCATGGTGTTGAATGATGACCAACCGGCCATTTTGGTTGTTCATTGGCGTTGGCGATAGGGGCATCAAGAGCGGGGGGGAAAGAGACGCTATAGGCATGGGCAACAGGTACGATGGCAGCTAGTTGAAGGAAGGTAGGCTTCTGGTTGGTAGCTCTTTGGACAACGGAGGATGGGGCAGGACAATAGTTGGCGGGGGGGGGTGGATACAGCAACCATTGTGGCCGAAAAAACACCGACATCGTCAGCAGCAAAAAAAAAAAAACACACACACACACAAAAAAAAACGTAACGACAACGATAACCACAACAGACATGGAAACGGCAAACGCTAACAATTGACCCGTGAACCGCATACAACAGCAAAACAACAGCAACCAGCCCAACCACCGGCATTGACGAAGGTCTCACAAGAATTATCTAAAAGCACTTCTATAAAAGAATTCTGCCTTGTCGAAGCGGAACTCGGAGATTGGCAGAACAACAGCAACCAACTCAACCGCACAGAAAATAACACCAACATCGGAACATCTCAACAAGACATATATTTTTCAGTACCTTGTTGAAGCGGTACGCGGAGATGGGCAGGCCCTCCTCGAACAAGCGCAGCAGCTCGGCGTGGCTGAGCCCCTCGGGGTCCTCGGCGCTGCCCGTGCCGTCCGCGACCCCGACGATGAGGCAGGCGTCCCCGTACTCGCGGTTGAGGATCTTGATCATGTTCCCCCCGACGTCCCCGTCGGGTCCCTGCAGCAGAGAGAGGGAGGGAGGGAGGGAGGGAGGTTCGGAGGGTGGAGGTCGCAACAGAAGGTGCTTCGCGAGGAACGCTTCTTCGTCGCACGTGACACATGTTGTGAAAGACGGTGTACCGTATCCAACAAGGGTTAGGGTGGCGGTCGCATGGAGGGAGGTTCGGGGGGTGAAGGTCGCATTAAAAGGCGTTTCGCCAAGAACGTTCGAGGAAAGCACGTGATGCACTGTGAAAAGAAGGTGTATCGAACCGGAAGGCCAGCGTACTCTGAGTACCACCAGCGCCGTGACACAATTTTCTGCCCCTTGTCTTGGCTGCCGCTGTTCGCGATCGACATCGACAAGAAAATCTGCCCCCGTCCCCCGCCCCGTCCCCTCGCTGTTGGTGTATTTCTGTCCATTTCTCTCCACGTCCTCACGAAACATGGTGACTCGTTCAAGTACAACATGCACATGTACTGCTGTAGAACCCTCTGATAATCTTCCTCCTTCTTCGGTCGTCTTACCCCAGTGAGCTTGAGGGTGAACTTCTGGCCCGCCTTGGGGTCGATGCCGCGGTTGCGGAGGGCCTCGTCGAGGAACACGAAAACGCCTTCCGATGTAACTCCATACTCCTGCCCGCGCGACGACACGTGACAACATTCCATCGAACACATGAGATCAGGATCAGATCAGGCCGTGTCGGACATCAACAGCCGTTTTCGTGCAGTGAGCACTGCTGTGCCACAGCGGTGTTGCAGCAGGCCATGCCATACACCGTCCGGTGCCAACCTCGTGTCAAGCCAGGCCACATTACATCGCATGCACTATTCACATCTCATCACAGTATACTGCGAAAAAATATCGTACAGGGCGCGCCACCCGCAAAATGACCTAGTAGGAATTAAGAATTCCGGGTTAAAAAAAGTTCGAAACTCAAGGAACTTGATCATAACAGACTCCGGCAAGGATACTACAGCACTCTAAAACTTCGTGGTCGCTGTTGCCTTACCTACCCCACAGAGGGGAACAAAGAAACGAGCCTCAGGCAGACCAAGAGCTTCATAAGTGGGGGCTCCGTATTTCGTACTGTACTCCCCATCCCGACCTGTGATATGTGGGTGAAGGCGTCATCGACCCAAACCGGGTACCCACACCGCTGTGTGCAACAGGTACACAAAGTCGAGCGCGTGTTGCCATTGTCTGTTCCTACTCCTACATGCACACACACACCTTGTGGTTGATGCCCGCGTCAGGCTTGGAGGACATGAAGGCGGAGGGGAAGGGGGCCTGGCGCTGCGCGGCGCGGGCGATGATCCAGTTGATGTCTTGCGGGATCACCTGTCGTCACACGCAAGGAAGACAATCATCCCAACGGGGTCAGCACCAGCTGCAGCAGCACCAGCAGCACCAGCAGCGGCGGCTGGCAACAGCGACGGCAATGTGCGGTAACGGTTTTGGCTCAATGCCTTGCCCGGCGAAGGATTCGTGCGTGCGTACACGCCAGGACCGAGTTGATCCTGGGCGCTAACTGACTACCATAGCGGGGAGGTAAACAACAGCGAGCGGTATCAGAGACATCCGCGTAGAGACAGGGTGGCTAGCAGGCTTCACTCCCAACTGGATGGGCTAGTCTTCCACACAGCACTTGGCGGTATTTCCGAACATTGTCCCGCTTCAAACCTTGCCTATTGCAAGGGATACTTGGACGATATCTGATTCTGATTCCTCCCGCGTGCTAACCGAACACGTCAACCAAAACAAACACGCCTGCATCCGTGAGCCCCTCTTCTTCGGGTATAACCCGACATCGATCCAATGCACCTTCAGCAGGCCCTGCAAGCAAGCCCGTCTTCTCTCAGTACACTCGCCATCACCTCGTTACGCACTTGCCTTAACGTGGAAGGACAAACCAAACCAAACCGTACCCCCCCCCCCCCCCCGTTCCCACGACGGCGTACCTGCTCGTCGGGGCCGAGGTAGAGAAGCTCCTGCTTGCCCCACAGGTCCTTCACGTACCGGCGAGTCTCCTCCGTGCCCACCAGAAGGTCGAGGAGAGCGTCGCTGAAGGCCTTCACGCCCTTGCGGACGGCGTGGTCCTTGGCGCGACCCTACAACACGGCGCGAAGCACACACACCACCACCACCACCGCTCGCGTCATGTAGTGTCTACTGTACTGTCTACAGCAGTGAGGGTATTGTGTACAGAACGGAAGCGATGCTGTGTCCAACGGCAAACGTGCGTGCCAACATGTATCCCACCACAGGGGGCTGAGAGGAGGCTATTCGTACACTTTGGCAGCGGTTCGCGAATCAAGCAAAAGCTGAAGCACAAGATACACAACACCCACACACGAACGCATCAGCTCCTGACACCTACACACGCGCGAAACGCAGAGGAAAGTCTTCCGTGTGGACTCAGGTCATCGCTGCCCACCGCGCGAGCGAAAATCGTGAGCGGCAGCAGCTACTGAACGGTGCCATTACGGCCAACTAAAAAGATAAACACGTGTCTGCTGCTGTGACGTACCGTGGAGTTTGTAGTGTCGACGAGTACGACGGCCTTGCTTCCCCCCTCCGGGATGTCCTTGTTCTTCAGCTGCTGCGCGTACGCCAGACCGTAGCACTCGTCGAACTGCCTACCGGCCTCGATCGCGACCTAAGCAGCAAAGAAAAAAAAATGGGGGGGGGGGGGGGTATGCATATGATTGGGAGCCAATTAGATGGGATCACCTCCGGCACGGGAACGCCACCAACTGCAGAGTCCCCCCCAACTACTTGATATCGGTATACCATCTCCGTTGGCGCTTCTCTTTCTTCGAACAACGAAAGCCAATCAAATTGCCGTAGAGGACGGTAATAATACCCATGCCTAGCACGCGCGCGTCATCGATTCCCGCGGCCAACCCGCCCGCCCGCGGCGGTCCACGGCCGCTGCGCGGGCGAGATCTCTGCTCTCAACCCAGCAGCCGCTGGAGTCGTCAACTCTTCCGCCGCTTCTTTCCGACGCGACGGTGGTGACCACAGATTTCAAGTCAGGATACTGATGCAAAGAGGTAAGGTACACAAGCATGCCGCTGTCGTCAAGACCAATCAGAGTCAAGAGCGATGCCGACACCATGTGCTATAGGAAATACGTCTAACTAGAATAACACCTGTGGTATTGTGCATCGGACCTGTCACTGCATTGGCTTCCAAGAGACACGCAGCTGTCAAACACCAAAGAACATGCCCTCCAAGTGTCGCTCTTTGACTGGACCCCTCCCCACGTGCAATCAGTCGCAAAGCGGCAGGCAAAACACGCCCTCGCCGTGCCCACAACGAACAAAAAAATAAGTGTCACCACAAACGTGACACCACACCTACATACCTGCTCCGACGTCTGAGGGGTGACGATCCTCATCCCCCCCCGAGCGATGTCTCGGAAGCGGCAGTGGAAGCCGTTGAAGCGCCGGCCGTGGACGAAGAACACCCCGAACGGCACCTCGGAGCCGCTGCCCTCCTATTGGTCGGTCAGAAAGAGGCACGGCGGGATATGTTACGATCATTGGGGGTACACGGCGCTAGATTGTTTCGTGTCGAACCGGCACATATCGGAACGAACAGTCATCGTTTTCTCGGCGAAACGACAGTAGTCATCAAGCAGTAATAGGAAAGGGTGTTACTCTGTCTCAGCGAAAGCGGCGATTTTCAGTGTGTATGCATCTGTCTCCCAATCGTCCCGCGAACGGGCGTCCCCGGAGCATCCGTAAGCAAGCATGCTTCCAACAACAACACGGGACCGCTTTTCTGGTTTGACCTGATTCCCCCGCCCCCACCAAGAGGTTGATCGGTCTACGCACTACATGAAAGACCAAATAGCTAGGGCCGACCCGGGTGCGCTGTTTCACCTTTAGCTCGTCTTCGGTCATGAGCAGGCGGGGGTCCACGCGGAGACTGAGGGCCCAGCGGTTGGGCATGAAGAAGTTGGTCCTGTAGGTGGCCATCACTCCGTCTACCATCTTCAGCAGCAGCCCCTGTTGTGAGACGGTGTGGAGGAAAACAGAAGGCAGAGGCGAGCAAGCACATGGGGGGACAGATACATCAAACCAACATGAAAACGAGCATGCCAAAAAGAGGGCCCACACGCATGAAGACACCAAAACACAGATGAAAAGCCCGCAGAGCCGAAAAAATAATGATTGAGGGAACCACCTAACTATCGGTCGTCGCTTGGCACAACCGGCTCAGCTTTACACTTGATCCGCGCAAAAGGAAAAGGTGTCCCCCTTTCTCCTAACAAAAAAAAAAAAAAAATGTGCAACACGCCCAGCGGCGGCCACGGGTGCAGCAAGGTTGGCCGGTACTGTACGGTGGACCTCCCCGAGCCATAACGCGAGGCAGCCGATACCCGCGGCTACCCCAAACACAAGTGGTTCCGTGTGGAGCACGGCACGGCAGTCGTTTCGTGTCTGGTATACAAATAGGAGATAAGGAAACCGTCCAAATCATCATTGCATCGACGCCAATACAGCTAGCTGCCAATATTTACCAAGAGCGCTAGGGGCACACAGCTGTTCCTATGCCACGCATCTCCGTGAGGCAACGTGCTGCGTCGCAACCACGCCGACACAACGGCAAGCATGAGAGAGAGAGAGAGAGAAAGAGAGAGAGAGAGAGAGAGAGAGAGACAGACAGACAGACAGACAGAGACAGGGAAAGAAAGACAGAGAAAGACAGATATTGAGAGCTTGGGAGAGAGAGAGAGACAAAGAGACAGCGATAGAGACAGACCTAGACAGAGCAGGCGCAAGCGTCCTTCAGCAGCAGATGACCCGTTCGACATCAACGCTATCTCTTTGCACACCACGGTGTACAGCAGCAGTACCTGGACCATCTCGTGCTCCACGTCGCGCACGATCGCAGCTCTGATCTCGCCCGCCTTGGTCTTGGCCGCAGTCTCCGACATGTCCACGTCGGGCGAGAAGCGGGAGCAGAACAGGTCCGCCGCCGCGGCGGCGTGCCTCACGTACCGGGGGCTGTCCAGCCACTGGGGTGGGTCGGCCGTTGTAGGCGTTGTCGTGGGTAGTTGGTGTGTGGCGGGCGAAAGCAGCAGCAGCACAAAAAACACCGGTAAAGTAGATACATGACGTGGGGGGAACGGGGGGGTACTAAAGTCAATCGTTCGGTTCACGTGGTTGACGTCACAACGGGAACGGCCGTGGTGGTGGTAAGCGGGTCGCCGTATGTGGACGGTCAGCCAGGAACATCGCTGCGCACCAAGCACAACAGCAGTTCCTCGCGTGTCGCGGCGCTCCAGACACGGCGTTTGTGGGTGCCATTCGGGGGGGGAAAGGTGCACCAATCATACCGTGCATTCCGCCCACCCCGCACAGTTGCACAGATGTCGGGCTGTTCCTACATACATCCAAGCAAAATGGCCGACCGGCTTTTGTAGCTCACGTGGTACATCTGCGACTTGGAGTATGCCCATGGGTGCGTCTTGTGGAGCACTCCGTAGACCATGTTAGCGAGGGCCACGATCACCTCCGACGTTTCCAGACCCAGCCCCGGGTGCCTGCAAAACCAAAAAACCAAAAAAGAAGCGTTATTTCGTTTTGGTTCGGAGCGCGAGTCGAACCTTCTCAACTCGCGAGAGCGCTTGCTGCTGAATTCGGCAACGCGTCGAGTAAATAAGGAGCGCCGTGTGAGATGAGCAGAACAACAGGCACCCCCCACCAACACATTTTGTGTTCCTTTTCTTGAGACAAACGGAAGGAGGTTTGACGAACTCAGGCCGGAACAATACAGCGACAGCAGTCTCGAACAATATAGCGAGGAGATGCGCGGCAAAGCACACACAGATGTGGGTAAAACCTCCTGGGGTCACCTATTAGTAGAGGACGAAGGTTTAACCAACCACGCACGGTTTTCTCCTCAACGGTTGGGACGGCGAGAATAGAGAAAGATAAAACAGGACGCACACAACATCCAACAGCTTGTCAAAACAAGAAAGGGGGGACGGGGGAAGGCAAGGAAAAGAAAGCAAGACAGACTCACTTCTCCAGCATGAGCTCGTACACCCGCTCATCCGCCCACTTGATCCTCCGCAAGTCCTTCATGACGGCGTCCCACGCGCCGGGCTCGTCCCAGCGGTCCTCCCAGCTTGCATCGATCTCTGCACCAGCTGCAGCGTCACCGGACCCCGCAACTGCCGCCTTTGCTGCGCTGCTACCGTCGCTGACGAGCATCCTCATCTGCCAACGCCACAAACCATGAATAAAACCGACACAAACGACCTCAAGTAAAAAAAATTAAATCACCCTGAAACTATCACCGTGGCGGTGGCGGTACCGCGTGGTTTCGTGAGAGGCGAAACCTTATGAAGGACGCGTGGGTCTTGTCCCACGTGACGACGCCTTGATAAACACTGGGTATGAGCTTAAGTTCAGTGGCAGTCTTCGAGACCATTAAACCAGAGGAGCGAAACGACAAAATTGTCGCCAAATAACCACAGGAGAGAACTGCCGAACGACGACTGGGTCTCTAACGTCTAACGTACGTCCAAAGACTCCCGAGTTGTTAGGCAAACACGACAGCAGCGTGCAGCAGCTGCAGCAGCAACACACAACAGCAAACAACGCCGACGCCAACAGCAACACCAACAATAGCAGCAGCAGCAGCAGCAGCAGCAGCAACAACAACAACAGAAAACATTCGGCTGAGCCAGCCCGGCCGGAGCCCCTCTCCCCTCCAAACCACGCAACCAACTCACCATGGTGACGGAGCCGTTGCCCGGGTCGTCGACCACGTCAAGGTGGCACCGGATGGTCTCCAGCTGGTAGCTCTTCAGCAGCCGGAGGGCCTGGTACAGCGCCATCTTGGGCAGGACGTTCGCGGCGGCCATGGAGATCCAGTGCGAGCCCCGCAACTCCGTGGCTCCGGCCTCGGCACCCTGGTAAGCTTCCACGTCCACCGCGATGCTCTCGGTGCCGCTCACTTCCTGCTTTCCTCGAAACAGGGGGGGTAGGGGGGTCAGTATGTGCTTGGTGTTGAGCTCTCGTTGGATCTGTTGACTAGGAGTCCTTCTTGAGATGGAGTACCGTTGTCTACTCGTCCTGGAGGAGCGGGTGCCGTACAGAAGGCCCGTGTTCGGTAGACACACCCCACAAGTTTTGGCTGTTGTATCTCAGCAAAGACAGCAGCAGTTGCGCCCTGCGCCTCCACGTGAACGCGCGCGTGGTTGGCTGATTTCGTCTCTGTGCTATTATATTTTTCGCTCACTCTCCGTGACCACCACTGCTCCTACTATCTCAAGCCACCTTCCCCACCGACACCCCTCTCTCCCATCCCTCCCTCTCATTCTCACTCTCACCCCCGCCCCTATACCCACCTCGTACAGGACGCGGTGCTTGCAGAAGCGGCGGGGGTGGCTGTGTTGCACGAACTCCGGGTCGCACCGCGACAGGTACTCCATCATCGCCTCGGGCTCGAACATGGGCCCCGGCTTAGCGTGCGCCTCGTTCTCGAGCCACTCCCCCGCCTGCACCGACGCCGCGTACTCCAGCACCTCGCTCGCGTGCGCGGCCGCGGGCATGACCGCCGCCGCCGCCGCCCGCCGCGCCTTCCCGGCCTCCGTGTCCTGGGGGATGGCCTCGGCGAAAAATACGCCAGCCGCGTGCCCCCCGGCGGCGTCGGGCGGGACTTCTTCTTGCTTCATGTACCCGAACAGGTAGACGGCCAGGTTGCCGTCTCGGGAGGGGAACGCGTGGACCTTTCGGACGGGGGGAGGTAGGGGGGGGGGGGTGGGATGGTCTCGCATTGGAAATAACGGCCATCAAGACTGCTATCAAGCGCGCCGCCTTGTTGATGTATGGACGGACGGCGTGCGTGTGTTTCGAGAGTCACAATCACACGAAACCCGGAAGGTCCACCAAACACCAAAAAATAATGCTAAGGTGTTTAGCGAAACGCGCAGCAAGCATGGCCTAAGTACCACCAAACGCCGGAACCAACTACCAACACTACTCTTTACGCTTCTGATGCCATCGCCCACAGCGCCGCATCAAGCAGCCCCCCTGCAACACCACCACCATGACTTAGCCACGACCCCGGTGCACGCTCCCACCTGCGCAAGGGACAGAGTCGAGCGACAAACAACAACCTCACAACTTCCGCCCCCGCCACCCGTGCTGCTTATACTCTGTTACCACCAGCACCGTCACCGACAACACGGACACCAACACCACCAATCGTGGACGTACCCGTTGAAGGCTTCCGTCCGCCTGAGGAAGGGAGTCGAGCAGCCTCAAGATGCCATCGCTCCTGCCCTTGGTGGACTGGACGAACGTCATCTCCTTCATGTTCTCCACGTCGCGCTGGTGCCGCGGAATCGTTTCGAGTTTTGGCAAACAAAACACCAGAGTCGTTTGGCAAGCGACAAAGGTGGCAAGAAAGGAGGACCGCGGAACAACAAACAACCACCCGGTAGCGTTGGTTGCAACAAGCCGTCTGTTTTTTTTTTGCCGAACCCACAATATTATTGCAAATGGATGGTGATGGTGGACGTTAAACAACTTGCTCAAGCGCAAGCAGCGAAGAAGAAGCTCCGACACAACTCCAAGCATCTCCGTACGAACCCCGGTTGCCGTCGATTTTGCATTCGCAATGGTACGCGACGGTCACGCGGTCCTTGGACAAGGCTACGACTGTGGTCAAAGGGGCCTTTTTGATCCGCCGAAGGAAGTCCTGTGGGGAGGGGGAGATGAGAAACTCAGGCCTAACGCACCTGGAAGTGGAGAGTGATGTCTTTCGTGGGAGTCAATCGCTCGACGCCATTCGCGTCCACGTGGCCCCCCTTCAACCGGAACCATGACGGGGTTCATGCGGCGTATCCGTTACACATGGAAACACGCGGGTAGCGCGGCGGTCGGACGGTTAGACGAGGAAACCTTGCTGTGGAAGGGGCTGTTTCGAGCACGGGGTGTATTTTTCAGACTCTCGGCGAGAATGCGTGACGAGAGTGTGAACAGACAAACTGTTTACTGTTGGTTTTTGTATCAAACTAATTAACGCCAGCTCCACTTAATCAAGTGTCGTGCCATGTATAACGTAGTGCTTAATAAAACTATTGTGTACCCTTTGCTCTTCATGTAACCAGCGTCAATTCCACTCAGCTACATAGTATTACGAGGTCGTGCTTGAAACGACCATGCCCTAGTGGTAAGAGGCTGTACCTCGAGCATAGAGGATATGGCCCCCAGGTGTTGCAACCTTGACTCTTCCGTGGTCTGTCGGAAGTAGGACGCCGGCATGTTCCTCAAGAACCTTAGCAGAACCAATCGACGCAGAGAGAGAAAGAGAGAGAGCGAGAGAGAGAGAGCGAGAGAGAGAGAGAGAGAGCGAGAGAGAGAGAGAGAGAGAGAGATAAGAACAACGAGATGCCCGCAAGAGAGCGAAGAACAAGAGACAAGGGGTGGGGGTACGGTGGCGGCGAGGACCGGGAGGATGGACGGACAGGGCGCAAGCTAACCCTACTCGGTTAAAATGAAGTTGACGAGGAAATAGAACAGGGAGGGGGTACGCAGACCCTATTCCATAACCCTAACCCACCATCCCCGATTGCACGTTTTATCCAACATGTCTACGTACTAGGAAAGAACCCTGCCAAGGCTACTGCTCCGTACGCACGTTCGTGTAAACACGCACACCAATAACTTGTAAAAAAGAGAGTTTTCGTTTTCGGCTCACTGAGGCTGACATCTGTTGATTGGCCAGTGCGGTCGATGCTGATAAACTCACACACACACACACACACAGTCAGGCAGGCGGGCAGGTGGAACCCAACTCACCAGTCGACGGCCCCCTCGTGGGTGCGCTGCTGCTCCTGCCAGAGCTCGTGCAGCAGAGACTGCCTCGCCATCTTCTCCAGCTTGAGCTCGTTGCGCGGCATGTGCGCCCACGAGGACGTCGCGGGAGACGACGAGAACGGAAATGCCGTGCCCTGGAGGAGCATCGCGGCCCCCCCCCCGCCGCCGCCGCCGCCGCTGGCCGCGCCTTGCCCAACGTTGAAGGTGGTGCCGTGGCTGATGGCGTGCGCCGAGGAAGAGGCGTTCTTGTTGCTGCGCGGGGGCGTTAGACCGCCGCGTTGCTTCTTCGAGTCGTAGTCGTCTTTGTGAATCGAGGAGGACGCTCTCTGCTGCGGAATCAAGGACGGACGGTCAGAGGGTTGTGTGATGGGTTGATGATCAGAGGGGTTGTGAGCAGGTTAAGCCTTCCTTTCTGTCTGGCAACGAGAGCACAGGCGCATTAACCGGGGGGGGGTAGTGTGGGCATGGCCTTCAAAAAGGAACACATTTCCTCAGAGTCTGTCGAGGACGATTCTTTTACCTATTCACACAACAAGCTTTCTAAGAACACATGCGCAACTCCGCTTCAGCACCACAACGTTGAACATGAACGAGTTAAGTCCGCAAACGCTCGAGCGTGCTGCTTGCTTCGGGGTACAACTACAACACGTCCCCTGGGACTGCGGTATCACCTTGAACGGGTATTCTCTCAGTGATGTATGTATATTCTATAAACCATTCATCATGAGGGGTAGCGGGTGGCGTTTCATACACGGGTCGCGTCTGACGGAAGCCCGGTGCATATTCCCATGGTTGGCAGTCTCTATCTCGCTCCTTGATGCTGCACGAAGCTAGGAAAGGGCATGTGTGGAGTGGAGACTGCACCAGCAACCCTGGATGCCACTGCTTCCGCGGACGAGGTCGCCGCACACGAGGAGCTGGCGACCGAACTAAAAAAGAAAATCATGGAAACGAGCTACGCCGCATCTGCATCACGGCCACAAAAGGTAGTTCCGGCCAGGAAAAAGCACGCCACTCTCAAGTCGCCCCCGACAAACACTACGGCTCATTCGAGCACTACACCACCATGCCTTCTCCCGCTTGCTCCTCGCAACAATAGAGCCCGTTCTTTGCTCTCTCTGTCGCAAAACTAGAGAACGAATTGCAGCCTGTGTGTGCGTGCATTTCTAGCTCTTGGTGCGTGTCATGCCTTCGCTCGCGCGCACGGCGCAACAGTAGATTGCTTTCGTCGTTCCCGCGAACTCAGAACTAGGCAATGTCTTGCAGCCTGGGTATATGCACATTTCTTGCTGTTGGCGTCTACAGCACGAAGTGCGTCTACCCAGGCCGAAAGACGACCCCCAGCGACGAGACAGAGGAAACAAACGACGACAGCAGTACTCCACTGGTGCGCCGTGCACGCGAGCGAAGGCATGGCGCGCACTAAGAGCAAGGAATGCACGCACGCACACACAGGCTGCAAGACGTTCCCTAGCTTTGCGTCGGACGGAACGACGAAAGGACGCTGAAAAACAAACCCAAGGAGACCATAGCCCGTGCATTCCTCTGAGGTGAAAGTGGTGGACGTCAAGAGCAAGGAATGCACCCACGCGCTGGCTGCAAGACGTTCCCTAGCTTCGGGACAGAGGGAACGACGAAAGAACGCTGAAAAGAAATTCCGTCGACAACCTAATCCGTGCATGCCCTTTGAAGTGAAAACTACCGCACGCCAAACAGTTGGCCAAGACCAAGGATGCGTTATACGGTGGAGGCAACGTAATCAATAGAATCAGTGTTTTGAGACGAAGGTCGCTAGTGGAGGATGAACTTGTGGACGCAAAAGAACGTTGACACGGGAGCTGCAGAAGGCGGGCATTCTCACGAAGAGCTTTGGGTGCGGTCAAAAGGTTTCTGAAAATACAGCCTCTTTGCTGCTAGAAGTGAAGACAGGTTCCCTTTTAAAATCAGACGTTAAGTCGAAAGGATGGGACGGTGTGCAAAAACGGGAGATCTGTGTTGATGGAAAATTCGGGAGATTTGTCTTGTAGGAACCTTTTGATGCCGAGACATGGCAGTAGATACTTCGATCGCCATCGTCTTGGTTTGAGATGAGCACGCTCTTGGAAATGCACTGTTTATAGAAACTACACGGATACTATGAATGAACAAGAAGAAAAGTGAAAGCAGGGATTGGGTCTTATGTATCGGAACTAGAATCGCGTGCTTTATTACAGGACATGTTGGGACGTACTTCCAGTACGCACAGTGCACCTCGCATGGCACTTACTGCATGGGTTTAATGCGGCAATGTGAAGGCGTATTGCCAAGTCTGTAACCGCGAGGAAGGTAGCTTGACGTCTGTGTGAAGAGTAACCAGTCTGTGTTTATTCTAATGCCTAAACGTCAATTCGATTATCGCCTCGGTGATATCTCGCGGGGGTGCGACAAACCGATACCATACCCAGTGCCCCCAGTGGTTCCGGAGCACGCACGGTTTCATCGCGTCAAGGTATTGGTAGTACGTATGGCGGCATCGCGTACTACATTTTTTTAGAAAGTAAACAAAACCTCATAAAAAGACTACATTTCGAGGCGCTGCTGTGCGTTCTGCAGTACGACCATGACATGTTGGGTATCGCACGTAAAGTATCGGAGTTTTCGCACGGGGTGTGCGTCGAAAGCACTCAGTATGAATGCTGCTGTAGGGTTTATCGTTAACTCAGTAGATCACGTATAGGGAATGGGGGGCGGGGATACATGTACATGGTTGATATGATTCAACTACGCACGTACCGGTGATACGTCGCGTCCCCAAAACCAAAAACTAAAACATCCAGTGCCAAAAGAAAACAAACATAACATAATTGCTGCTGTCGTTCAGACTCGTAAACCGAGCTCCGTGACCAGCCGTTCGCTCCAACAATCTGAAGGCACCTCTAGGTATCGCACCCCCCTGCGACATTGTATAAAAAGCCAAGAACGGAATAATTTACAAATCGACTTATCATATACATATCACCCCTGTGCGTTCTCCCGCATCCGTTCGGTATTAACCCCTTTCGGTCTAGGCTGGACTGTCAGATTTTTGTTTTTGCGCCAAAAAAAAAAGTATGAGAGCGAGAGCGAGCGGAGAGAAGTGCAGAGAAAGACACCAGTGTACTTCTGCAAACGCAACAGCTATCTCCACCTGTAGGCCATGAGGGAAGCCGGCGACAGGGTGGTGGCCACAGACAGGGTCGTAGAAGGGTTGATGGGTGGTCGCGCTGCGGTCAGTACGGCAGGTTAGCTGTGTAGACTTTGAAATGATCAGTTGTCTAGCTGCCTCAACTAGTCTATTTTCGGTATATTGTAAATTATCAGTCCAGAGAGGGTAAATGATCAGTGAAGACCCATAGCTGGTATTTCAAGATATTTGTACTTCGGTACTTCTCTGTTCTCTGTCCCCCCCCGATATGTGCCCTGCAGACTCTCTAGAGCTCCTGTGCTTTTCACACAACAAGCACATCCACCAACACACACCTGTACCTCGTGGTTTCCTAGGTTCGGGCGAGGGTATGTGTGGCGCTACGAGTGTGGATGTGTTGCTGATATGTGTTACTCGTCTACAGCAGTAGTAGTAGTGTCGTTGTAGCATCGTTGTAGCTGCTGACACAATGACTGCTGGATCTTGGGAACGATTTTCAAATTGCTGGGAGATGCAGCAACCACGATATCCTCGATATCTGGGCTTCGGCAGGGCTTGCAATACCCCTCCCTTTTGCTGCCCTCTGCTCTTTGCAGCAGTGGCTTCCTACGTTCGGGCGAGTGTATGTGTGGTGCTGCGAAAGAACACATACGTATGCATGTATGTATGCACACACACGTTGATGTACATACGTTGAGAGATTCATGATTTGGCATTGCTTCCCGAGACCTCGATACTACTCGGCTGTCACTGACGTCTCTTCATTTGTCAGCTGGTTAGCGCGGGTGCTAATTATCTAGACACACCTATCTATGAACTTGCCAATACACGGCGCGAAGGGCTGCAGGGCGGCAACTCCACGACTTGCCACTACACCAGCATTTGCAAATGATCAATCAATGAACAGTCAGAACGCCCGAAGACTCAAAAGGGTTAAGGGGGCCCAGAACAGGGGTTTTGACGCTGGCTCTTTTCTCATTCTTTAATCCAACATAAGAAACAAAACAACCTTCCCGCAGAGTGTAACTGGTAATTAGTACTGTTATCAGTAGAGGACACCATGAAGAGGCTTCGTGCGTGCTGGCACGTTTGCTACTGGAGCTGAAATATCGAAGGTTGCAGCAATCTCTGAAAACAGTCCGAAATCTGCGCCGGAACCAAGCGGCATCCAACATTTGTCACAGCCGTGCACACCGCCACGGACCGTAAACCCCTCAACGGAGGGTTGTCCGCAGTAGCTCGTGGCATGAGCTACTGCTGTAAACGCACATTTCAGGAGATTGGGGTCCGTGGCGGTGAGCACGGCTGTGACAAATGTTGGATGCCGCTTGGTTCCGGCGCAGATTTCGGACTGTTTTCAGAGATTGTTGCAACCTTCGATATTTCAGCTCCAGTAGCAAACCTGAACGTGCCAGCACGCACGAAGCCTCTTCATGGTGTCCTCTACTGATAACAGTACTAATTACCAGGTACATGTCAACACAGACCTTATTTGAACGCCTGCCGTTTTGGCTCTTTTGACTTGAAATTAGAATAGGGTGAATTTTTATCTTGATTTCAAAGGGGGCGTGCGGAGGTAGACGTGTGAAATGTATGTTTTTAGCAGCCTCTACTGTCGCCCTGTGCGGGATCTAACGATTTCTGTTTTTTGCGATGCCTTCCGACTGGTCTTGTGTGTCTGTTGTGCAGTTTCTGGTGCTCTTGCGCATGTTTTCAACATTAGTCAACATCGAAGTTGCTGTTCTGGGCCCCCTTAAATTCTACGATATCTCGAATGGGTAGTCTTTCTGTGTGTGTTTTTATTATTCCTTAATACTTCGTGAACGGATGTGGTATGGTCGGGCTACAGCAGTTCGAACCGGGATCGAAAGCAATGCACCAACACCAGCGGCTACACTAGCCGCGATCTGGCGGGCGGGC